TATGTTTACCTCTAACACCGTGATCTCTGAGTTATATGAAAGGGTGCTAGCTTGCGCTCAGAATCTGACTTGCTAAGAGAAACTGGAAAGGCAAGACGACAACAACTTCATGCCAAATTTGAAGAAATTTTACAGGAGGTATATCTCAATTTGTTCCAATAATCATTCAGAGAAGGAAATTTATGTGCTGGTAGTAACAATAATGGATTAAAATGTTCTGAATTTTTCTGGTGATGCAGTTTCACAACTATTCTAAGATGAATTCCATCCTACAAAGGTTTGAGGTGGCAGCGAAGAAGGAAGACTTGGGGCCTGCAAGCACTGAATGAATAGCCACCAAGGGTGCCGTCCATCTCTATGATCATGTCAATCTATGTGATGTTCTTTGGTTGCCTTTTCTTGAACTACCAATTATGGACTTTTATGTATTATATCATATTTCGGAATGTAATTAGTTAGGCATCAATCAGTATTAGTGCAACTCTATTGTACTCGACTCCTTTCCTTGATGTGTCGGAGATATATGTTCTGAGTTCAAGAAATGTTACTTTTTTTTTCCTAAATTATCTTGAATTTAGGTTTAAATATGTGTATAAAATATTATAATATTTATGATCATTTACAGTATATTTGGTTCAGTGATTAAGAACATCATCACTGTATTAAAAAAAATGTTGTAGCGAGAATGAGAGATAATTTTCTTTTTTTCTACCAAGGTCATTTTGATCTTTTTCTTATAGAGAGAATGAGGTCTATTTAGTAAAAATACAGAAATGAGAGACAAATTTCTTTTCTCTACTAAGGGCATTTTGATCTTTTTATAGAGAGAATGAGGTCTATTTAGTAACTACAGAAATAAGAGACGTGATCTAAGAAAAAATCTATTTTTCAGAAAAAAATAATCCAAAATAAAATATAAATGAACAATAATTATATACTTTATTCAGATGTTTTCATCCTAGAATATCAATTTATTTCAAATTTAAGTTAATATTTTTTTTCAATATTATTTTAATCAAAATTGATGAAACATCATAAAAAGAAACTCAGATTAAATTTGGAACTATGTAACCTAGAAAAAACATTTGTCTATAAGATTTTAAATCAAAAGATCTCAAGAAAAAACAATATAATTTCAGCTGACAAAATTCTTACATCAAGAAAAACAAATAGTACTTTCATACACTATTTTTTTAATAAAAAAAGATAAACGAATATGATGGAGAACTATCAAATTCTTTTCTTTACTGACTAAGCTAACACGATTATAATACCAAATGATCCTAAATTTTCATTTTTAAGCAGGTTTTTTTTCTCATGTTCTTTCTTACCACCGCATATATCCCAAAAAGACCAACTATGCCTACTTGATCGAAGGGAATCGTCGGCACGGTGATCAAAGATTCAATCTTTGATCACTGGGTTTTAGGCGCAAACACCGCCCTGTTTAAGATGTCGTCACTTCAGTAAAGCATCACGCAGCAGCGGCAGTCCACGAACTGTTCCTGTAGTACAAGTGGGACGAAGCCGGTACCCGCATCGTCAAACAAGTCTGCTGCCTATCGAGTCAATTCCTTCCGCCTGTCTTCGCCTGTCGGTCAACCTTCCGCTCCTTCGTAGGCAGTTCAATCGTTGAACTTTGTGGATCTCGGTTGGCCTCTCCTCCAATTTGCTTCCCCAAAGATATTTTTTTGATCTTGTTCAGGGTAATCCGTCCCCCGGGGTTCCAAGTGTGGTGGAAAGGAGGTGCCTTCTGCCCCTTTGAGGAACTCTTGGCCTCCTGCTGCGATCGCGAGGCGTGGCGATGGCGGTGAGTTCTTTTGGGTTCATGCTGTACGCCGATTCTCCATGATTGTTTGCTTTGTCCTGCCACTTCGGGCCATAGCGAGTAAGAAAGCTGCGATCTTGGAGGGTTTTGGAATCGTTCTGTTGTTGCGTTCCTTTTCTTTTCTGTGTGATTCTTCGTCTTTGCAGTACTTCTTTGTTGTTTTTTTTATGTGTTACTCTTCAATTTTTTATTTCTATGTTAGTATTACGAGAAGCCTATTGAAGATTTTATTTTTTGGAGTATAATTGGGTTTTGATGCTGGGGTGAGACTGATGAAGTTTTGATATTTGGTCTAATTATCATAATATCATCCTTTTCTTTTATTTGTCATGATGGTTTTTGCCGAGAGCTTTGCAAAGATTACTACCTCATAACTCATGGATATTCCTAACTGAAATGGATCAGATATCATTCTTTGTAGTGACTGTACTGATCGAATTGAAGCATAAGAGGGTTCAAGTTGTTTGGACTGGTCCGATCCTAATTTGGAATGCTGTCACTTTTGAATGCTTCTTTAGCAGTAACATCGGTCCCTGTTTACTTAAATAGCTATCTGTTGTTACTTGGATTTCATCATTTGCCATGGCTTTTAAGGTAAGAATTTAGGGAATTGTGATGTTGCTTGTGTTGATTTCAGTGCTTGTTTAAGTTGATTGTTCTTCTCTTCTTCCCCTGAAAAGTTTCAAGTGGATGACAATTCTAATTTTTTATGTGGTATTGAGATGAGGCATGCTGCACTTTCATGTGCATCATGTGGGATCTAGACAGCAATAATTGGAGGAATGCATTTAGAATTTTGTTGCCTAATTAACATCTGATCTCATCAATGCTGCTACTAAATGAGTATCACATATTTGATCTCTGCAATTTGGTTTGCTGCCAGTTAAGTTGTAACTTTCGTCAATAGCTTCTTTATGTTAGTTTCGTTAGTTGGATGTTAGTGAATTAGGAGGAAGTTTTAATACTTAGAAGTCATTTTCTTGTGCCTGCTCATTCATTCCATTTTTATGAACCAAAACCTTTTCAACAATAAGTGCTAGAGAGCTTTTACGAGCCTTATATGGTTAGATGTCCTTTTCAGACACATTGACAAACTATGACAAGAAAAGCTCCATTGGTTCACCGATGAACTTGACATGATTGTTATTGCTTTGGTGTCTACTTTGTAAAAGGCTATAAAAAAGAAAAAGTTGTACATCGATTCCTCGTCCATCCATCATAATGGTGTATAAAAGGAAAATACCCTGAATCTGTTTTCTTTACTGTCTAAACTATTTGATAGGCTAATGTAGATTACCTGGGAGTGGCATTCTTTACGCAGATGAGCAGCTTCAACACATAGGCCAAATGCATTTTTGTACCCCTTGTAAAACAGCCGAAATCAACTATTTATTTTTTCTGTTTTTAATCTTCTTGGATGTCCTTTCTAGTTTCATGGGAGATTTGTTTGTTCACTTAGACAATAGCTTGCTTTGTTCCTCTGATGGGTAAATTTCTTTCAAATGTTAATCGTGTTTAATAATTGTTTTTGTTGATATTGTCTGTCAAATCTTGTCTTCTATTGACACTTTTATATATGAAATGAACGATTAAAATGAGTGGATCGAGATGAAAACCTCTTTAAGGGTTCTGAGATTTTGTTCTTGTAAATTCACAACCTTCTGTTTTGTTTTGTTTTGTTTCATTGTAGCAACATGCCCAACTTCCTGAAGCAGTAAGTGCAAACTTGGAGGCTCCAAATCCCAAGGATGAGCCACATGCAAGCAGAGAAGATGATCTCCGCCAACCGATAGAATCACATTTACCTCATATTGCTATTGCACATAAGCCAACCACAGAATCCCCTCTTCATAGGCATGGGTATCAACCAAATTCCAGTGAACATAGAAGGGCTGGTAGAACAAGTGGTGAATCTGACAATAGCATGGAGCGCTCTCCACTTCACCCCCATTATCATGTGAAAGCTGCAACTAGAGGTGGTGTATCTTCCAAGGGTTCATCAGTGAGTAGCCATGCACTTGCTTCAAATGTTGCAGGTAGATCGAGACCGAGGACCGGTGGTCGAGGTGATGAAACTGTGAGTCTTTTCTTCTAATAATCAGTTTTTTTGTATAAAAGCCTGCATGCAATCATGTACAGAAAAGCTGTGGTATTGTTTCCTGACAGCCTGATAAAGGGTCATCTGTGCCAAAGTTTGGTGAGTGGGATGAAAGTAATCCTTCATCAGCTGATGGTTTCACTGGCATATTTAACAAAGTGAGGGAGGAAAAAAAGAGTGGATCAGCAAAAGCTACCATGATAACAAATGATACAATCTATGTCAATGACCAAGATGGTAGTGGTGGGTCCTTGGTAAGCTGCCTATGCTTGTTCGTATGATAGAATAATTAGAGCTAAAACCTAAATTGGAAGGCTCACTAAGTGTAAGCCTGGTGAAGCTCATAAGTAAACTTCATTTCTTAACTTTTTTGTTTTATTTAGTCTTAAATGAGGCTCTTAAAGATTACCAGTTTTCTTATTCGTAATACTTGCTGTTGTAATTTGACTCGCATGCAATAAAACTAAAGGTGCTTGACACTTCCTTTTTTCTTTTTTTATTGTTTTCTTTTTGTGAATTTCATGTCCATGTATAACTTTTAAGAAATGGAAACATTGCTTTTGCTTAACGCATACTGGTTTTTTGGTTGATACAGTTTTACTTAAATTGCCCTTTATCAACATACTAAAAACACCAATATCATCTCTGTGACTATCAAACTGCTGCTTTTTAAGATCTCGTAAAGTGATTATTCCAAGACAGTAGAATTAGGTTTTTATCATGAATTACCTTGTAAACAATAAATTTGTCAATGTTGTTCATGGCAAAAGAAATTTACTAGCAACTACGGAAATGGAAGCATCGGTTTTCTTCATGAATATGCCAAGCAAAAATACTTTTTAATTGCTGCACATGGGGTACATAAATGTCAGACATTTTCTAATTTCAAAAAAGTCTTTTTATATAAATTGCTTTTAGGGACGACGTACACAGCCAACAGCTTATACATTTCTCTCCATTTGAAACAAACTACTATTTGAAATAGAGCAGTAACAGCAACAGCGGCAATAAACATTGTAATATCCCAACTATTTGAAATAGAGTGATACCAATTTTAGCAAAGTTTCCTTAATACAACTTTATCTGTGACATATTACATTTTATTTACTCTAATTGCAACTATTGACTTCATATTTGAAATAAAACAATCTGATCTAGTTATACTTTGCTTTCTTCTGTCTTTGACAGAGCTGTTGCTTTGGCTGGTGCAAAAAATAACTAGTATTACAAGAAGATTCAGAGCTTCGATCCTGTAAATATCCTCAAAGAAGAGTCATGATATTTGCATCTGTTTGGAACTGCATTTTCCTCTGTGCTAGCGTGTGTAAGTACTGTATTGCATCGATGAACATGTTCTTTTCAATTTGTTTAATCTTCTATTTCTTGTTGCAATACTGTAAACGAGCATATTTTTTCTTCTTCTGGTGTGATTTAAATGTCTTGTAGTATCAAGTGCCTCTCAAAAAAATTTTCTTTACATGCTCGGGTATCGTAGTTCTGTATATAAGCATGTTCCATGTTTTTTCTAAGATTGAGTGTAAATAAGTCTGAAACTTTGAGGCCTTTTCAGCTTCCTAGGCTCCAACATCTTCCATGCACAATTGCTCGAGTTCTTGGCAGGTCTGCATTCATTAACTCGCATCATTCTAGGTTTCTTAGGATGCCTCAAATTGCATGTGGCTTGTATCATGTTTTGAACTCTTGCACAGTGCATCATGAACCTCTTGCTTTATCTTTCCCTGGCGTTGGCTGCAGATATAAGGTTTGGTCTTTAGGATTGTTCTCAGTACAGCAACTATAAGAAACCTCATGATCTAATATGCATAAGATAGGTGTAAGATATGCATTTAGTTGTTTATTATTCATTAGGAAGCAGGATTAGGGCTAAGCATATTGAGATTAGTGTCCACACCTCCAAATTATATTCGAGGAGAAACTAATCCTTTATATATTGCTATGTCACCCAATTACAACCATTGCCCCTTGGATCCGAGCCAATAAGAAATTAAACAAGTTCCTCCTTCATCGGTTAGCATGATAATTCCCCTCTCTGAATGCATGAGACACCTTATACTCCATAAAAGATGATAGTATCGCTAATTACATGTCGAATGATAGCAGGGCGGATTTTTCTTATTATTTGTAAGGTGTACCGAAACCTGAGCATCAGTTTGGACATGGATCTGTTGAATTCCTTTCCTTTTTCACTCTCTTCAAGCCTTCCTATATCGCACCTTCATTATAAATAATTAGTCTGTTGTTTGTGAATCTGCATTCAGTGACTGAAATAAACTCATCATTGTCCCTTGGAATAATCCCACTAAGTTGTCCTGCACTGAACATTCACTGTGTGCCTGAAACAAGAACATTCTCACAGAATGGCTGAACATGTCATAGAGGAATAGCAGACACTACACCCCATCTTGAATCACTCAACACCATAGAAAGCCATGGCACAATCTTTAGCATCACAGTGATTCAAGAACTGGTAAGTCTTTGTCTTGGTCATGGGGATTGAACTGAAGAGAAATCAAATCATCCAAGAAACCTAACAATCAAATGATGAACATACTTAACAGCCTGCTCTGTTAAGCGAGAAGGACACAGCTACCACTGCCTTGTGAAGGGGAAGAGCTTGGAAGAGCCTTCACCAATGTATCAACCAGCATCTTCAGGAAGAGAACTGTGTTCTTTCTTTTCTCTCTGTTGTGGCAGTAGGACAGCAACAGATCTGCATCAACAGCAGTAGCTCCTTGAGAGAAACAAGAGAGAGGTGCAGTTGCTTTGGTGTGCCAAATGTTGGAGAAGAATATGATATGATTGGATGAGGTTTTCTTCACAGCTGAGAATGTTCGACTTTGCACTGAGATAAGTGACTCATTTGGGAACTACCCAACTACTGAATCAAATCATTTGTCGGATTTCAATGAAAGAAAATATTTATTTTATTTAAAATATTTTTTTAGTAAAAAATAATAAAAATTTACTGGCCATAAAACATGATGAGGTCATACTGTGATCGTTTGTTTACGATGAAAGATGAGAAATATGATCCATCTTAATGTTAGTCATGTAAATTTTTTTTTTTATAATATGTTGAATATAATTTCTTTTAAAATTAATATTTTATTTATTATATTAAATAATATATAAAATATTTTTGATCTACCATATTGAACTCGTATATATTGAGGTTATATATATATATATATAGGGGTAAAACCGTTATTTTAAAAAATGTAGGAGGATGGATATGTAAAAAGGGTCATGTTGTTCGGATTATGTTTGGGCTTTTGAACTGCCGGCGCTGCCGTCGCGTGGAGCGGGCTATCGTCGGCGAATTGACATCGCGGACGTGGGCGACCAGATCGAGTTGCGGGAATGGCGGAGGGGCACAGGCTGTGGGGGCACCTGCCGCTGCTGGTCCAGTCGAGCTCTAAGGAGTCGGTGGAGTACATACTGCAGGCGCTGTGGCGGACTCGGAAGACCGGTCTCGACGCCGCCGACCGCGCCATCATCCGCGACATGCTCCATCTGCCCTCCGATTCCGACCTGGACCCTGTAAGCTTCGCAAAAACCTTTATTGTCTTCTTTAGGGTTTAAACCCTCCGCAATTTTGGCTACATTGTTTTGGAACTCTTCGCAGCGTAAACCCTAATCACATTTGATCTCTAACATGATATGGTCTGAGCTAATTGCATTAGCCTGAGGCAAAGAAGTCTCCGTAATTTCGGATTTCCAGTCGTTCGAGATTGGGTCACCAGGGGCTGCGTTATCATGTTCATCAACTCAACTGTAGCAATTGGTTCTCATCAATTGCTCGTTACATAATTAAGTACATACATGAACAAGGATTTCCCTAATTAAATGGTTTCCGTCAGCTTATAACTTGAAAGATTCAGTCTTGTGGGAAGTGGCATTTTGCTGTCTGTTTTGGAGACTATCGGTCGACACACATAAATTGTCTAAGTGCATAACATGCATGCTTACCTTTGTTCACTAAACATCCTCTCATTGAAGATTATCGTCCGATATTATGGCATTTCCTCATGAAACTGATGTTTATCGCAAGAGATGTTAGTTGGTAGGGATGAACTTCATGTGTAAAATTGCAGAAAATCATATGTCAATCTACCGCTGCTCTGTAAGTCTTAAAAATGTTATCAATACGCAACAGCTCAGTGAGAATGTTGTCTTGTGTGAGAACTTCATGTCTTACATGTAGCATAGCATGACATTGCATGTCAGGTTCAATACGTCATTATCTCTAGCACTTAATCAATTCTTGCTTGTATTTCCTTTTAGATTAAAAGACAAATGAAATCCTTATTCTATCA